AACCCCACTTAGAGAATATAATTGGGAAGCGGAAGCCAGTAGCTAGCTTAAACTTTACACTATAAATGATTCACTTTCAATTCATGTAACTCCAGTTAGAAGCAAACGAGAGGTGCGCCAAAAGCCTAAATTAGTGGGAAGAAAAACCTCTACTTTTCCTATTGCATGCTCGGTCTCCTAGGCTTCTTCAAACAAGTTGCACCTTTGTTGGCAAAAAAAAAAGAAATGAATTTCTTACGGGTAATACACATTAAAAAATCTCTAATTATGCGTATTTTGAAAAAAGCGCACAAAAATGTTCTGTTAAAACTAAGCACAAGGTAGAAAAAAATTTACCTGAAGTATATTCCCCCTAAAATCTTCTTCAACTAGTTTTTCACGTTGGATCATCGTTCCCATCGCTCCATCTATAACCATGATCCGTTGCTTTGCAGTTTCGCATATCGCGTTGAATATTTCGTCTTTCCGTGTCATGTTTGGTTGTTGAACAAGTGGTCCCGATCAAAAATGAATCCAGTCGCCAAACGGGTAAACGAACGACCGACCTACCTGCCTGGTATCGGAAAAGCAGAGGAATGGTGACAACCAGGTATAGAGTAGTCAGCTCCCAATTTAATTGTAAACGTAAACGGCAAACCAGTTAAACATATTATAGAACTTGTCAGTCACGTCAGCTGCACACCAACCAAAGGTCAGAATCAACAAAGGGCAAAAAAGGCGAATCGATAAAGTAGAAAATTTTTACTTTCAAGAGAAAGTTCAAAAAAAACAGTTATCAGTAGAGCTACTAGTGGCAGAAGACCGGAACCCTAGGTAAAAACACCTTGTAGTGGAATCGCTTTGCCATGGGGAAATGCTCTAACCGCTCAGAAAACGCAAAAACTGATGATACAGTATCAGTATCCAGCTGGTCGAAGATCACTAGGCAGGGTCGGTTGAGACACAACCCCACAGACGCTTCTTTGCATAAGATGGACTAAACATTGGCCGCAGAAATACTTCTTTGGTGACAGTACTCTGCTCCTTAAAAAGGGTTCGAATAAGTCCAGTTAAGTTCTGTTCATTAAAGCTATCGCTTTTTTAAAGCGTTCTTTCTCCCAAATTGACTACGTGGCAAACTGCCCATCAAAGGGCTAAATTAACGGGGAAAATTAAATCTGTGGGCCTTTCCACGTCAAATCCCACACTTTTTTCCCTTCATATCTCAGACTTTTTTTAAAATTTTGCTGATTAGTAGAGTTCAGGCGAGCATAGAGAAAGCCGCAAAAAGAACCTGGAAAAGTGAATTCCCCGCCAAGTTACATCCCCTCAAAGTGGCAAAATTTGCCAGGTTACCACTTGACACGCCTATCTTTACAGACTTGTAATTTAGCTCGTTTTGAATTCAGTGCTTTTTTGTGTTGGATTTGTCATGACTGAACATTTAAATGCATATTTATCCTTTTAATTTTTCTCAAATATCACATAAATTCAATAAAAACAAAATTTCAAACAAACATAAAAAAAAACAAAGTTTGAAATTTTTTTAAAAAAAAACACATTTTGTGCAGATTTTTTTGCTCTACAAAATATCAAAATTTGGAGATGGCAATTTTTGGTATCGAGAGCTAAGAGCCGGGATAGGATGTAAAACTGGAAAAAAACCCACTATTTTTACAGTAATC